GAAAAGTTATCCCCAGAGGATGTGGACAACAATATGTTCCCGGGATGTCCAGCGAGTCCAAAAAACGAATGATAACATACAAAACACTCTTTTTTGCTGACCCTTTTAGTCAAGAAATGGTTGACTGCGGAGCAGTACTATTCCAACAGCTATGTCAAGCCAGACAGGAAAAGTAACAAATGAAATATCTATCAACAAATAAAATAATGGTTGTGCTGCGTAATATTTTAAGAAATAAATTTTGAAGTATATAAGATATTGTATGTAATTATTATCTCTAACTAATGTATATGCCAAACGAGAATCCACTTATGAATAAAAAAGGTTGAAATCACTTACGCTCTTCAGATCGAAGTTAGTGTAAAAGGGTCCGTGAAACTAGTCGAGTAACTAAATATTTTTAAAATCGTCGCGTGCGTCGTTTGTATAGAAAACGTTGAAATACACACAGTTCGTGGTAAATTGCAATTATTCGAATTATAAAAATATGACTCACTTGGAGGCAGGAACTATTACAAATGTTACTAGAAAGTGATAGTGAGATAGAGGAGTTTGAACTTAGTGATATTTTTTACAAACCTAGTGACGAGGAAAATTCTGATGATGACGTAGGTAACAATTAAGATTTTTAAATTTTCGAAAATGTATCTCTTATTATTTTTAGATGATATCACTAATATTGAGGAGGTAACTGAAACACCTATCGCTAATATTGAGGAAGAAACAGGACCACCTATCAATAACCAAGTAATAATTACTCCTTAAAAAGCAAATAAAATTAGAGTCTGGAATGAAACTCAATGTTACATGAAGTCCATTCTATTTACGCGAGCACAGAATTTTCTTGTGAACATGGGTGAGCAAAAAAAATGCATTTGATTTCTTCTGCCTACTGTTTGATGATGAATTAGTGCAACTTATAGTTAATCAAACGAACATATATGCGGAAAGCGAATTTACATTAAAAAGTAGTTATCAAAAATCTCGCATATCTTCATGGAAACCTGTGACTGCTGAATAATTACGTTGTTTTATTGGTTTACTGTTTCACACTGGAACAATAAAGTGTTCAAGATTGCCAGATTATTGGAGAACTCATAGATTATTTAGTTTGTGTTTTGGATATATGAGTAGAGATCGTTTTCTAGCCATCTTACGGTACTTGCATTTCTCTCCCCCAACAGAAATTTCTATAAATGATCGGCTATATAAAATCCGACCCATTGTTGATTATTTTAATGAAAAAATGAATAAAATCTATTACCCTGGAAAAAACTTATCTTTGGATGAGTCCATGGTCCTGTGGCAGACTTGTGTTCCGACAATACATAAACAATAAGCGACACAAATATGGGGTTAAGTTTTATATTTTGGCCGAACCTAATGGCTTACCTTTAAAAATTATTATATATACGGGTCAACTGGATGAACTGGGACGATGTCATACCGAAAAAATCGTCATGCATCTAATGACGGAAGAAATAAACGTGGGACATTCTTTGTTCATTGATAATTTTTATAATAGTACAAATTTAGCAGATATTTTGCTTCAAAATAACACGTACTTTATCGGTACTATACGAAAATATAGAAAACATCTGTCACAAGATGTAGTTTCGGTATCTCTCAAGAAAGGAGAAACTATAGCAAGATACTCAAATGACGTAATGGTAGGAGCATAGAAAGACAAAAGAATTGTCTATTATATGTCTACCGAATTTAAAAATGAGAGAACAAAAGAGGAAAAATGTTAGTAAAGTCTCGTCCCCTTATAGAATATAATACCTATATGAGTGGAATCGATCGTTTCGACCAACTTATGTCCTACTAGCCTTGTAGCCGTAAAACTATGAGATGGTACAAAAAAATCGGTATTCACATTTGGCAAATGCTTTTGTACCGGGTGGTCCAATAAACCGATCTCTCTGCTATATACCAGAAACTATTCATGTTATAACTTTAGGAGAAAAAATTTCTTAGTAAAAGTGGCCAAGAGAAATCGCTGGAAATAACTTTCAAGATTCTGGATTAACCGCTAGGGGGCGTAACCTGGGAAGAAAATTTTGAAAACCAGTTTTTTGGGAAATATGTCCAATTATACCAAGTGTTAAATAAGTAAACTAGAAAGGGGCATAAATTCTGCACAAAGTTGTTCAAGTATTTTTTTTTATTTTTTCAAATAAAGGGTGGGGGAGAGTGGGAAAGTATTTGTGGATAAATACCTATAACTTTGGTTTGGATCAACCGATTTTAATGAAATTAGTGTCATTAGAAAGAGTGTGGATGAAATATTTCACATCTACTATAAAATACTTGCATTTAGTTTTCTTAGTCGTAGGTAGAAGGGACTTTCAAATAGAAAAAATTTGTTTTTCTTCAAAATTTTTAATGGAAACACCTATTTATTTTAAATTATAATGGAACTGGATTAAATTCGTAACAAAATGGAGCAAACCGCATGTTAATAGCTTTTGTTGAACTCGAGATATGAATAAAAACTCATAAACATAAGTAAGTATAGTATTGACACACCCTGTATTATAAATTACATTAAAAAATAAGTCAGTAGGTATTTTCAAATTTTTCTATATCAGAAGAATCTTAATGTTGATACCTATTTTGTAAAAAATAGTTTTTTCGAAACTAAGTAGGCTACGACAATGAATTTGACGGGGAGTTCATATTGTTTATTTATTGACAGCAGTCAAAACATTGTTAAGAAGTGCTATATTGTAATTCGAATTAAAGATTGCACTTTTTTCAATAGATATTAATATTGGTAATATTAGTAATTAATTATCAGTACTAATAATTCGTGATGAGTATATCAAATTGTATGATATGATTGAAGTTTATTTCGAATGTCACCAAAATGCCGCTATTGCCTCACGTATATATTTTGTAAGATATCCTGACAGGAGACATTATGGCAAAGAAGTATTTAAAAGAAAGGCAAAAAGATTAAGAGAAACTGGTAATTTTTCTCGTCCTTGTTTTAAACGACGTAGTAGAGTTATGACCGAAGATAATTCAATCAATGTTCTTGCTTTAATTCAACAGAATCCACATATCAAGTAGTCCGAAATCTTTACTTCTTTGCCACAATATCTCCTGCCAGGATATCTTACAGAATATATACGTGAGGCAATAGCGCCATTTTGGTGATATTCGAAATAAACTCCAATCATATCATAGAATTTGATATACTCATCACGAATTATTAGTACTGATAATTAATTACTAATATTATAAAAAAATTCAATTTTCAATTCGAATTATAATACATATAACACTTCTTAACAATATTTTGACTGCTGTCAATAAATAAACAATATGAACTCCCCGTCAAATTCATTGTCGTAGCCTACTGAGTCTCGAAAAAACAATTTTTAATCATATGAAATAACAATGGTCAAAATAGGTATCAACATTAAGAGTTTTCTGCTATAAAATTTTTTGAAAGTACCTACTGACTTATTTTTGAATTTATTTTATAATACAGGGTGTGTCAATACTATACTTACTTATTTTTATGCGTTTTTATTCATATCTCGAGTTCGATAAAAACTATTAACATGCGGTTTGCGCCATTTTGTTACGAATTTAATCAAATTCCATTATAATTTACAATAAATATGTGTTTCTATTAAAAAATTTGAAGAAAAACAAATTTTAATTTTTTCTATTCGAAAGTACCCTCTACCTACGACAATTAAAACTTAATGCAATTATTTTATAGTAGATGTAAATTAATTCATTCATATTCTTTCTAATTACACTAATTTTGTTAAAATCGGTTGATCCAAACCAAAGTTATAGGTATTTATCCACAAATACTTTCCCACTCTCCCCACCCTTTATTTGAAAAAATAAAAAAAAATACTTGAACAACTTTGTGCAGAATTTATGCCCCTTTCTAGTTTACTTATTTAACACTTGGTATAATTGGACATATTTCCCAAAAAACTGGTTTTCAAAATTTTCTTCGCAGGTTACGCCCCCTAGCGGTTAATCCAGAATCTTGAAAGTTATTTCCAGCGATTTCTTTTGGCCACTTTTACTAAGGAATTTTTTCTCCTAAAGTTATAACATGAATAGTTTCTGATATATAGCCGAGAGATCGGCTTATTGGACCACCCGGTACAATTCATATTACCTATTTAGAAAATATTCAGGGAACAATAATTTGACTTTTTATGATTTCCGTATGGAAATAATCGACAAATTTATACCACCTCTAAATCGGCAACTTCCAAGGGCTCCTAACCCTTACACAAGTCACCATTTAACGAAATTTCAAGAAAGAGATGACAGAGTACGGACATTACGAAAACGATGCCGATACTGCTCCCGAAATAAAAAAGAGTTCTATTAGTATACCATTGCCTTGGGTATCAGGAAAAACCAGGCTTATGTGTTGGGACATGTTTTGGACATATTAGCCTTTTTTGTTTGTATGCGAGTAAAGAACATATATTTTAAATTTTCTCCCTGCGACATACATGTGCGCCATCCGTTCCTGGTGCTAGTACCTTTATCGTATACCTGGTGGCATACATGTGAGCCATGCAAAAATGTTTCATTGTTTAACTATAATTTAGTATTAATAATTACAAATAAACATTTAATAATTTTAATTTTAATTTATAAAGGATTTGAGATAAATTTTTTATTTATTAATTATTCTTTAGTTTATTAAAAAATAAGTTTCAGGTCAGGGCACAAGTCTAAGAATCAGAAATCTGCACGCAAAGTGTTAACAGCATAATAATCTTTTACTATTGTGTTGTTATTGTCTCCTCGTTTAAGTTTTTGAATATTAACAAAATATAAATAATATAAAACTTTTAAATACAGACATAAATAAAATCATAAATAAAGGATACAAATAAACAACACAATTAGATACTGTATTTTTTATTTAAAAATAGTCGAGTACACATTCTTATCACTAATAAAAGCTATAATCATCAAAATTATGAGATAATTATTGGCCCCCACTGGAACTATAAAAACATCGGCGATAAAATATTTCTACAGTTAAACAAATCGCAAACCACAATGCTTAAACTAATTTTACAAACAGTTTTCGTAAGTATTTTCTATCCAACGGTACATGGTGCATTAATAGCTTGTCAACAATCAATCACCACTGTCAGTGGAACAGGAGCCCCCGATGGAAGAATTTGTAAAGGCGATTTAATTTTTAACGAAAATTTTGACAAGTTTGAACTTAAAACGTGGGAACATGAACGGACAATGGGAGGAGGAGCGGTAAGTTGCATATATCTATATTTTTTTCTTTCTAAACTTTCGTAAGTTTATATTTTTTAAAAAAAATTTCTTGGGAACTGGTTCATTTAAAACTAGTTATGATTAAAAGTTGCTTATTTATTTATGAGTTGACAGGTATCAAAAATGATCAAAACCATATAACCAAAGAATATAGACGCTTATAGAAGGATTTTTCACTGTTATGTTTGAAAGTTGGCAAAAGATGATCGCACGTTATGAAAAAGAATGAGAGGGTGGATCGAGGTTTTAGTACCAGTAGGAAGCGGTCATGTCGGCGCTATTATTGCTTTTAAAATATGAAAGAGTGGGGCAACAAATGCAACAGATATTTTTATGTAGATGCCGCGTGGCCGTAGAATAGGATTAAATTTTTGCGTCTTATAACATTTTTTAAAGAAAATAATATTTTAACTTTTAATAAATGAATCCTATTAGAAAAAATATTATGATTCAAATTTTTAATTTAAACATGTACAAATCTACAAATAATATACTTAAAACTCTCTTCTTATTAACTATAAATAAAATTAATTCAATCAATAAAGTCATCAATCACCGGAATTAAATATTTCCAAATTTTCTAAATTTAATAATTTCTTCTTCTTTGTTTTTAATATAAAATAACATAAAATGTAAAACACAACACTGTTTTTCTGCAGAATAATGGAAAATTGTCTAAAAAGTGGAAAATTAAATTTTTGGTTGAAAAATCTTGAAATTTTTAAAAAATATTTCGTTAATTTTTGGGCAGAAAAACAGTATAATAAAAATTTATGTGGCCGTTTTTCGTTGTGTTGGAACAAACCTATTTTTAATTCAAAGTTATAAACTGTAAAAAATAAATGCTTTGAATATTGTAAATATCATACCTTTTTAAATTTTAAAATTAAAAATTTAATGTATTAAAAATAAAGATTTTATTGTGTAAAAACCAAAAAAAGCATGGGAATTTTTTTAATCGTAGATGCAAAATTAAATAAATAGCTCCGTTTGTACTCCTTTCCCACTTTCCCCTAACTACATCTTTTATGATAGTTTTAAGCCGACTGACTGCCAGATGTGTTTTAAAGTAAACCGTAACCAAATCGCCCATTTGAACTGTTCTTCTATAAGCGTCTATATTCTTTGATATAACCATAAAACCAATAGCAACTCGGGTCCGTTGGGCCCACCACTGTTCTTAAATGTACTATTCACTCATATATTTACCCATATATTTCTAGTATTCTTTTTAATTTTTTATTAAAATATAGTTAAATTTAAATTGTCTAGATTAAAAAAAAAAGGTGCTGCTAAGGTATGCGGTCTACCTCGAGGGTGCGATCTACCTGAAGAATTTGCACAAAATAATTAAATGCAAGAAAACTTTTGTAGAAAAAATATTTATTCACTAGTAATAACCATTTGGAGCCAAATAAAGACTTATTAATTAATAATAAAGACTTAATTAATAAATAAATAAAATCTTTTGTAAATCTATCAGGCCATTTTATTTGCAAAGAGGGGTTGATGTTTACGCATACCCTGGAAAAAGATTACGGTGTTGTTGTCTTTCATTATTGTGTGAAAAAGCTTCTGAGAAAAGATTATGGTAATTAGCAGCTCATGTATAAAGTACAGACAAAAACAATCTTTACAAAAAGAATAAAACGCATGTCAGAAGAATATTTATATTTTACTTTTACAAATTAATACTTTGTCATATCAATTTACTATTTTAGTTGGGACTAAGCCACAAGATTACCTTATTCCCAACTAGAATACCAAATTGATATGACAAATTAAATTATTCTTTTTCTTCTTTAGGTACCATCTCCTCTAGGAGGTTGGTAATCATCACAGCTATTTTCACTTTTGAGATTGCAGCTCTGAACAAGTCGACGGAACTGCAATTATACCACTTTCTCAGATTGTTGAGCCAGGAGATGCGTCTTCTTCCAATACTTCGTTTTCCCTGTATTTTTCCCTGCATTATGGTTTGTAGCAACACATATTTATCCCCTCTCATAACGTGGCCGAGATACTGTAACTTTCTTATCTTAATCGTATTCATGATTTCCATTTCCTTTGTCATCTTTCTGAGGACCTTAACATTTGTTATTCGGTCTACCCAACTTATTTTTAATATTCTTCGGTAGGTCCACATCTCGAATGCTTCAAGTCGATCGCTCACCTCTTTCTTTAAGGTCCAGGCCTCCACTCCATACAGCAGCACCGAAAACACATAAGAACGTAATATTCTTATTTTGAGTTGTAAACTAAGGTCTCTACTATATAATACTTTTCTCATCTTATTAAATGTTGCTCTAGCTTGTCCAATTCTCATTTTTATTTCTTCTGTATACTCGTTATTTTCATTAATAATTGTACCAAGATATCTGTATTTTTTTACTTTTTCTATTGGAACTCCTCTTATGTTTAAAATGTCTTGTTGTGTTTTAGAAATTGTCATAAATTTTGTTTTATCAGCATTAAGCGTTAGTCCGCTTTCCTCACTAGCGTTTACTACATTATCTAAAAGTGTCTGTAGATCTTGTATATTCTCTGCAATTAGTATAATATCATCGGCATATCTGATATTGTTAATGGGTCTGCCGTTGACTTTTATTCCAATTGTTTCATTTTCGAGTGATTTTCTAATTATTTCTTCCGAATATAGATTGAACAATAAGGGGGAGAGTATTCAACCTTGCCTTACGCCTCGTTTTATCTCTACTTCCTCCGAAAGTTCTCTGCCGACTCTGACTTTTGATGTTTGGTTAAAGTAGAGATGAGTTATTATTCCTTTTTTGTCAATGTGTTTCTCTTTAAGTAACTGTATAAGACGGTTGTGTCGGACCTTATTGAACGCCTTATTATAATCAATAAAACAAACATAGAGTGGTTGGTTTACATCCATACATCTTTGCATGAGGACGTTAAATCCAAATAATGCCTCTCGTGTACCCATGGCATTAATAAATCCAAATTGGGTTTCAGTGATGTCTTGTTCCACTTTTCTGAAAATTCTTAAATGGATAATTTAAAGAAATATTTTTAGTGTGTGACTCATTAGACTAATTATACGGTGGTCATTACATTCCCTTGTATTAGGCTTTTTTGGTAATGTAATAAATGTTGATTTGAGGAATAATACCCGTATTATATATAATATTATATGTTGATCTGATCTTCTAATATTAATATAATTATTTCAGTTGCAATTGTGTCAGGTCCCGCAGTTTTATTAGATTTTGCCAGATTTATTGCATGTATTATTTCATCCTTAGTTATATTTGGACCTATATCATGTTCCTCGCAATCGTTCATCCTATCTTGTTGTATCCTGTCATCCTCAAACAATTCTTGGACGTATTCTCTCCATCTGTTTAATTTGCCTTTGACGATATTATTTTACCATTTGTATCAACCAGGGTGTTACTATTGTTGGACCGTCTTATACCTGCTAATTCTTTAATTTTTTTGTGCAGTTCAAAACTATACTGATTTCTATGGAGTTCTTCTATCTCTGAACATTGGTCGTTGTACCACTTTTCTTTAGCTGTCCGTATTTTTATCCTGATCTCCTTGTGTGTGGCTTTGTATTCGTTGACATTTTTGTTTTTGTATGATCTTCTTTTGTCCATTAGTTGCCGGATCTCATCTGTCATCCATGGAGTCTTAGCTTCATCGATTTTGTGACTACTCATCGTATCTTTAATGGGCATCATTAATGTGTTCTTAAATTTTTCCCATTTTTCGTTGGAATCTTCATTATCATTGATTATTGTTTTGCTTAACTCCTCATTAATTTTCAACGTAAGTTCTCCTTTTGTATTCGGGTGTTTTAGCAGAGTGCTTATTTTTTGTATCTTTTGTTGTTTTTTTATTTTCTTTAAGTGGATTTATCTGTTCCTGGATATGTCTTTGCCGATTTGATGGAGTTGCGGTATCTCTTATTGATAAGGATATAATCTATCTGATTTCTGATAATTTTTTCTTTGCTATCCTTAGGTGATTTCCTTGTATATAATCTACGTGGTGGTAACTAAAAAAATGTATTTGTCGCTATCATTTCAAACTCCTGACAGAATTCCGTCAGTCTTTCCCCTCTTTCGTTCCTTATTCCTAGCCCGAATTCACCAATAATGTCTTGGAATTTACCTTTTCCTAATTTGGCATTAAAATCCCCCATTTTTATTATTATATTTCTATTATTGGTGCTTTCTAGTGCTTTTTTAATGTCATTGTGAACTCTTCTATTTCATTTTCATCTTTATCTGCAGTGGGGGCGTACACCTGTATGATATTAAGAGTTCTATGCGCTGTTTGGGCTGTGATCATTAACACTCTAAATATTAATTAAAAAAAAACAATAAAAATAAAAAAACCATAGATTAGTCATTTATTTTTCTTTATTGCAATACTTACAAACATTTTTAATTATACAGTGATCGTTACACACATTTCTACTGCATATTTCACAAATTTGTTTTTGTTTCCTATCCTTTTTTGTTGGACACATTTGACACCTTTTTCTTGTTAAAACAGATTTTTCTAGTTTTTGCGTTTTATTGTGTAGTTCAACTCCCTGTACCTAAGCATTTTTCGATACACTGTTTTGTTTCCCATTGTAGTCACCTTAATTTTCTTCTCAAAATTTGTGACAACACTAGTTGTTCTACTGTCGTAAGAAACAATCTTCGCTTTTCATTTTTGTTTTCGTTCCAATTTGGATGTAAATTTGTCCAAGTAATAATGAGGCTACCCCAGCCACATCTAAAATATTCATAAAAAATGTAAAAGGCCAACGGTTAGTTCGTCTTTTGCATATTATGAACAATTTGGTCTAACGTATCACATTTTGTACTATTATAATAGAGTATTATATCTAGTTTTTTGTCAACGTCATCTGCACAGTAAGCATTGTGATGCATGGTAGACAGGACTAAGACACTTCAGGAATGTCCAGGTGTGAATTTGCCAGTAATTCATGTGCA